TAAATGAATATTGCTTTTTGATTAACACTTCAGGTGCAATATATGGCATGATTCCATATATTTTCGTTTCTGAACCTTCTAGATCATCTTTTGCTGGTCGACTCAATCCTAAATCTGCAATTAAAGAGTCAGATCCATTTGTTCCTATTAATATATTTCCATCGTGTATATCGCGGTGTATAATTTTATTTTCATGAATCCATTTAATGCCTGTAACAATATTTCTAAGGAATCCTAATTTCGTTTTCCAAGTAATGTCATTAAAATTATTAGACAAATAATCATTTAGACTTCCATTAGACATATATGACATAACAAAAATATAATCATTTGTTTTTGGATCTTGTGACACTCCATAACATTGAATAAGGTTGCGTCCATAGGTGTTAGGCTGAATTTTAACAATATTTTGTAACTGCGGCAAAAATGACAAATCTTTAGAGTAATGTATCGATAGTTAAAAATGAAGTTTATCTAATATTACCTCTTTTACGAATGCTGAATTAATATTTTGGGAATCTTTAAGAATTTTTAATGCAACCGTTTGATTCCTTCTTCTATTATATTCATTTTTTGTGCTGCTCCAACCTGTTATTTCTCCTTTTGTCCATGTCGCAGTATATATTTCGCTAAAACCACCAGTTCCAATTTGGGTTATATCTGTAAAATCGTTAAATGGTATCCATTCTAATCTAAATTTAAGTTGATTCTTGTATGTTGCTTTGATCAGATTGTCAATATCCTGATTTCCACTACGAACAACATTCTGAAATTGTGTAGAAGAGCAGCCTCTACACAACTTATTATTTTCATATAAAGGTTCCTTCTTTCTATTGCAGTTAATGCATTTAGATTGTTTGGAATGGCAACGAATACATAGATTATCGGATTTAAGTATTCGATTTTTATTGCAGTTTACGCATGTTTCTCTATTGTGTTTCATGTTTATACTTTATTTATTTGTCTGACTTTTGTATCTTGAAACCGAAAAGGCTTTATAATTTAATAGCCTACATATAAGTTCTATGTTTGCTGAAAATTTGCTTTATATATAATTTAAAACGATAATAACAATGGAAGCGTATTAAATTTAAAAAAATAACAATGAATTCGCATGAATCATCGAGTAAAGTCAAGATGTATAGTATAATTAAAATTGGGAATCGTGCTTATTAAAGGAGTAGCATTATAGGGGCATTATTAATATTGGTTAAATTTGCATTTTATTTAACGGGAAAAGGAAGTTATTTATCAATTTTATTTTTCAGCGCACACTTTTTGAGTCTTTTTCCATATCGAAAGTTTATTTTTCCAGCAGAAATGTTTGATTGCCACATGCCTTTTTTATAGTGCTGATCGTGCCGTTAATGGCAGATTAATAAGGTTTAGAACTTTCTGGTGATTTCCCAATTATATATAATACAAATGGGAGTAAATAAGGCCGTTCGAAGTTGATTCTTCGGTTAACATCACCCCGGTTGAGGCCTCCCCCCGAAAAATGAACAACCAATCAAAACGCTGGATAACTCTCGCCGATCACATGATTTACATCGACCAATGAAATTGGCCCATATTTGTTCATTTTTATATGTTTCATTTTACCCAAGTGATGTTAACTGAAGAATCAACTTCGAACGGCCTAAGTCTATTCAAAATTAATTTTCGGTTAACATCACCTTCCCCTCTCCCTTCGATGGTCCCCCGATAAAATAAATATAAAAAAAAATATTATATATGAAAAAAAAAATTTAAAAATTAAAATATAAAAAAAAAAATAAAAATAATAAATAAAGGCGATACCTTGTTATTCATACCCCTGTAGATCAAATTTTCTTCATCTTTGAGCGAAGATATCTCCACAACCACCAAGACAAATTTGATGAAATTTTTTTATTTGAATTCTATAGCTTTGTAGTATTAAAATAAAAAAAAACTCATCGATTTTGGCTTGGTGGTTGTTGAGATATCTTTGCTCAAAGTTAAAGAAAAATTTTGGCGCAGCTTTTATTTTGATAGACGTTTTG